TTGCCTTTGAATCTCTACTCTCAGCCCATGTTAAAGGCTTTGTTCTCTGTTGTCCTGTCTTTTCAGGGTTAGAGGCCAGCGCTCTCCCTGATGCTGGGGAAAGGGCTCCTCTTGAACAGCAGCACAGTGAGGAGGAGTGGGGCTCCAATCTGATGCAGGAGACAGAGCTCACTGATGCAGAAGGTAAAGATACACTCAGTGAGCAGCAAACAGAGAGCAGACAGAGTGTCGAGGATCTGGACTCTGTGTACGTGATGAAGACGGAGCCTGAGAGTGAGACACCTGGTTTCTTAATTTTTACAGAGTAGATTAATAAACTGGACACTGACAATATGACATGATAAAAAGCTGTAATGAACTGGGTTGTGTCTCTATACAAGAACTCAAAGAAGACCTGGGTGAGTTTTATCTTACAGATCAGGACATGGAGTTCCAGTTGATTAACCCTGCAGATAAAATAATCCAGACATACATCAACTGAAGTCATACATTAACCGAAATATTTTAGCTTTCTTCTATTGTGTGCAGTGCATGTATAGTCTTGTGCCTTGGCACAACTTGTTACATGGTAGTTCAGGTTGTACTGCGCTGAACTGTGTTCTTACCCTGCTCTCAATGGGCTTTACTGCACTGTACTGTGGTTTTACCCTGATCTCACAAGGCTTTGTTGCGATGTTTTGTATTTTTACCCTGATCTCACTCCGATGTACTGTGCTGTACTGTGTTTTACCCTGATTTCACTGGCCCTTACTGAGCTGTACAGTGTTTTTACCCCGATTTCACTAGGTTGTACTGTGCTGTACTGTGTTTTACCCTGATTTCACTAGGCCTTACTGCACTGAACTGTGCTTTTACCCTGATCTCACAGGGCTTTGCTGAGCTGGACTACATTTTTACCCTGATCTCACTGCGCTGTACAGTGTTTTTGCCCTGATCTTACTGGGCTGTACTGCACTATATTGTGCTTTTACCATGATCTCACTGGGCTTAACTGCACTGTTCTGTGTTTTTACCCTGAAGTCACAGGGCTTTACTGCACTGTAGTTCAGGTGGGTAGCTTCATTAGTATACGTAGGCAGCAGTATAGCCCTGTGACATCAGGGTAAAACCATAGTACAGTGCAGTATAGCCCAGTGAGATCAGGGTAAATGCAAAGTACAGTTCAATAAAGCCCTGTGAGATCAGAGTAAAAGCATAGTACAGCTCAGTGAGATCAGGGTAAAAACACTACAGTGCAGAAAATCCCAGTGAGATTGGGTTAAAAACAAAGTACAGTGCAGTATGCAGTACAGCCCAGAGAGATCAAGGTAAAAACGCAGTACAGTGCAATAAAGCCCAGTGAGTTCAGGGTAAAAAAAGTGCGGCGCAGCACAGCCCAGTGAGATCAGGGTAAAAGCATAGTACTGTGCCGTACAGTCCATTGAGATCAGGGTAAAAACACAGCATAGTGCAGTACAGCCCAGCTAGATCTGGGTAAAAACACAGTGCACTGCAGTAAAGCCCTGTGACATCAGAGTAGAAACACAGTACAGAGCAGTAAAGCCCTGTGAGATCAGGGTATAAACACAGTATAGAACAATAAATCCATGTGATATCAGGGTAAAAACATTGTCCACCACAGTAAACTCCAGTGAGATCAAGGTAAAAGCACCGTATAGTGCAGTAAAGCCCAATGAGATCAGGGTAAAAACACAGTAGAGTGCAGTAAAGTCCAGTAACATCAGGGTAAAAACACAGTAGAGTGTAGCAATGCCCAGTGACATTAGGGTAATAACACTGTACATTGCAGTAGAGTCGCAGTAAGATCAGGGTGATAACACAGTATAGTACCGTAAAGTCCAGTGAAATCGGGGTTCTGTCACTCCTAGAATGTAGACGGGCTTGGGGGTGTCAGACAGGAGCCCAGAATTGGAAGAGCGATATAAAATGCTCTGTAGCACAGAGATTTGAACCCAGACCCTCATAGACTGCAGACTAGTCTGGATTTTAACCCAGCCTCTCACTGACTGCAGACCAGCGTGCTACACGACGAGCCTCAGCGCCTCCCTCGAGGTCATTTCTTCTGTGGCTAAACACAGGTACACAAGTCTTACACTTACACTCCAGTTCAGCTTCTGTATTTATATACAAATGCAGCAAATGCAATTCAAAACAAGCGGGGTATGCTGCGGTAGAACGCGGTGGGCATGTCGCAGTATACCACCATATCAGCAGCCATATCACCCTGCAACTCACAACTGGCAACCCACTAAAGCTAAGCAGGTGTGAGCCTGGTCAGTACCTGGATGAGAGACCTCCTGGGAAAAACTAAGGTTGCTGCTGGAAGAGATGTTAGTGGGGCCAGCAGGGAGCGCTCACCCTGCAGTCCATGTGGGTCCTAATGCCCCAGTATTGTGATGGGGACACAATACTGTAAATAGGCGCCGTCCTTCGGATGAGACGTAAAACCGAGGTCCTGACTCTCTGTGGTCATTAAAAATCCCAGGGCATTTCTTGAAAAGAGTAGGGTTGTAATCCCGGCGTCCTGGCCAGAATTTCCCATTGGCCCTTACCAATCATGGCTTCCTAATAATCCCAATCTATGAATTGGCTATTCATCTAATTCATAGATGGCTCTCCTCCCCACTGATAGCTGATGTGTGGTCAGCATTCTGGCGCACTATGGCTGCCGTCGCATCATCCAGGTGGATGCTGCACATTGGTGGTTATGGAGGGGAGTCCCCATTACATGTAAAGCGCTTTGAATGGAGTGTCCAGAAAAGCGCTATATAAGTGTAAGCAATTATTATTATTATACCGGGCTTTACCGTATGAAAATTAGATTATGTTATTAGTATCTGGAATCACCTTGTTAAACCGGCAGGTGGAGCTAATGAAGCTTAACCTGTACAGCTTTTGAGCTGTTACCAGAAAACATACGGTTTTGAATCCCGATCATTGCTGAGGGACAATCTTTATTCAGTTAAGAATTTAAGTTGTATACTCTTTAGACTTTTAAATTTAAACTGTGTATTACATCATGTTAATCATTATACATTAAAAAGTTGGTATATTTAATGAAAGCAAGATTGCTCAGTTGGACAAAATACACAGCCTACCACCTTTATCATAAATATTTTAATTATGCAGAAATATTTTATGCATCAAAGTCTTTACTGAAGATATTACTAATAGTATTAATAATGCATGATCTTGGACAAGCTGTAAACTCAAAGTCTGCAAATACGCACGTTATCGAATTAAACAAAAGCATAATTGGATTAATAGGGAATATAATATGTATTCGCATATCTAAATAAGTTAATAACGGTATAATAACTATATTCTTGCACTGTTGCACAAACAGTAGTATAAGTCTTTTCACTGATATGCACTTGTCACATGAGTGCCTTGGTGGCGTGATAAGTTAAGTGACTGAGTTATGGACCTGAGTGTTTTAACCCAACTGTCGCCATCAGTTTTCTTTTAACAAAAACATTTCTTTGAAAAACTAAAATAGCAAATATTATTAGTATTATATTGACATTTTATATATTTCTAAATATCACAACATGTTCTTACTGTATGTACACAGTGGTACTGCAGCATGTAGGGCGCAAATCCACGTGAGCCCGAAAGCCCTTCATTAATGTGCATTCGCCTGGCACTGCGTGGCTTTCATCTCTCTCTCTCTCTGCGGGAGTACTGGCTGTGCCGAATTAAACCGGTTTCACAGGTATTTTCAAAGTAGAATACGGCGAGTCTTCCAATCAGGCACTACATCTTCCCCCATGGCACATGTTTTCTTAGAAAAACAGATTCACAGCGCGAAGCTATGTTAGTCTTCTGTGTAGAAAAAAAATCGGTTTAAACACCATGGGTGTGGTTTTTAAGACGCTGCTGAGTAAAGTATAGGAATTTTCCTGCTGTCAGCAGAATTGTGTATATAGTTGACCTTTACCTGAATGAAAACAGGACATAAAGAAAGGGTTTCAGAAATCAAAGCTTTATTCCTGTGCTAACAGTCTGGATAATTGGAGGCTACGCTGTTATGCATCCTATGATGATATATGGGTTTTTCGCACTAAGCAGTATTTCTCACGTTGTGAACGTGTGTACACAGCGGTCCCCCTGGGTTCCAGTTAGTGTGTAATTAAGCATCGATGAAAAACTTAAGGTTTAAAAACAAAAAAAAGCGCACTATGGTATTCTCTCCGATGCAGTGCAGTTAAAAAAATATCTCTGATGCTGTTCCTAAATTAATATCATTTATGACCATCAGACGCTTTATGCTCCTTTTCTTTTTTCCAATGGATTGAATGAAGAGGCATTTCATGATGTACTTTTCACTGATGAAAACTATTCCAGAGCCACTGTTGTTTCAACCATTTCATTTTATAAAAAGTGGAGATATGTGAACAAGCAAAACCCAAAACACTGAAGGTTAGCCTATTCTACTCTGAGAAGAGTAGACGGGTCGGAAAGTGCCCGCGGTCATTTAATTTGTATTAAAATTCTAATTGTTTCCCTTGTGAAGATACGGACATAAGAATATTTGTGCGTGGTCACAAAAATGGCATAAGAACGAAAAGTGAAGGCTGTGAAAACATTCACAATGTACTTTATACACAAAGGAAGTGTTCTCACAACTCTAGGAGGTTTCATGAAAATGCCAAAATCGGTTTTGAACTTCAAGCTAACTTTACCCCGGTACCTGTCCCCACATACCCTGCCCCCACTGCAATTAGAATATACACAAAGCACTGAAATCTTTACAGTAGATAATAAGGTGTTTCGCAGACGTAGGCATAGTACGTAATTCAGGGTTTATGAACTCACACCTGGGATTCTCTGTGTCTACATTGTTTATAAACAAACTTAAATACTGGTTTCAAACGTGGAAAGATTAGATTGTAATCTAATAGTTTTTTTAATACATTTTAGAAAAGTGTAATCTATACTAAAAAGCTGTATTTATTTAATACCACTTGATAGTTATATTAATAGAGAAAAGATTTCAAGTTGATACTGTTAAGACTTTTAATTTTTTTAAACTGTATTACAGCATCGTACACATTAAACAAGGCGGTATATTTTATAAAAGCAAGATTGTTCAGTTGGACAGTATAAAGCAAGTATGATTTTAATGTTTGTAATCGCTATTCTCTAACATTCCAATGTTAATGCGACCAACACTGAAGATATTATTAATAACCTTTTAAATCTGAAAGGAGATCTAAAGGGATCCAGACGGTACAGGTTCCTGCTACTGCAGCGATTCAGAGGGAAAGATGGTGATGTCACCGCGCAGGCGAGCAGACACCCTATTATTTCAGGCGTATGCGTTAAATATATTTAGATCTTTGAATTAATATCGCTATTGATTTCTTTAGCCTCACAGCATTGTTCAATAATACTCTTCTTGTGTCTAAAGCAGGATTTGAGCTGCAGACAATAAAAAAACAGGATTAACTTTTTACACATATTGATGATGATATCAGTAGCAGCTTGAAACTATCCGTTGTTATTAATAAATGACTTAGATTCGAACATATTAGAAATATAAAAAAGTCAATAGAGTGTCCATAATATTGCTATTTTAGTTTTTCAAAGAAATGTTTGTTAAAAGAATTCGTGGTGATAGCTGGATTTGAACACCCGACCTCTCGCTTATAAGTCAGGCACTTAAACCATCACCACACTGACACAGTCATGTGACAAGTGGTGAAACAGTATATACTACTGTGTGTGTTACAGTACATGAATAGAATTATATCATTATTAATTTCTTTAGATACGCGATTCCATATTATATTCCCTATTAATCAAATTCTAAAGTATGCTTTTGTTTACTCCGGTATCGAGCATATTCACAGAAAAGCTTAAAACTATCACTTTTCTCACAAAGTACTGTATATAAACTTAAAGTAACATGGTCAGAAGGAGCACGTAAAAATGTTTCCGAAGTAACCACATGTAAGACTGATGCTTAAAATGTTTAGGGAGAAATGGAATACTGGTGTGTATTTTTTCTTTAAACTACCAATACCGGCAATATATAGTTTACATAATATGTTTATGTTCCTAAATTAATATAGTTTATGACCTTCAGATGCGTTATGCTCTTCTTCTTTTTATGCTCAGCTACTTAAATTTCCCTTTAGTTGTAAAATTCTGTATAAATATTCAATACTAAGCGGATTAAAATGTGCACAGTAAAGACATTAAATGATTAAATCTTTCCACAACCGACCAACGCACCACAAGTGCCCCTGTCGGTCATTTTGGCCAGCCAATCACGTACGTGTACGTATGACGCGTTTATTTTGTTTGTTTAGTTTGTACCACGCACTTTGAATGGCTGCATCTGTATATGAAAATGAAGCTGATGCTTATGGGGAGCCTATATCATATGCAGTAGTAAAAATTAAAGTAAAGGTTTTTCCAGGCTGAAAAGAGAAGAAAGGAAACGCAACATTTCGGCTGTGGAGCCTTCTTCGGGTGTGAGAAAGACTGCGAAGTCAGCAGGAGAACAAAAGCTGGGAGCGAGGAGGAGAGAGCAGGGGGAGGCAGAATGGGCACTCAGGTGGTATGAAGTCGAGAGTGGTGTGGGGTCGAAATCTGCACATGAATAGAGAGGATTAGAAGGAAATGAGTTGAGAGAAGGAGGAAGGTGTGAACCAAGTTTTAGGATAATCTGTAAATAATAATAGGATAATAGTTCTTTCTGCAATAGGAGTTGTGAAACCCTTCTTTGAAGACGCAGACGGAGAGATCAGTGTGATCACGGCCATTAGAGGTGAAATGTGAAACTACGGGCTTGGAGAGATCTCTGATTCTCACAACCCCGACATGTTCACTGAAGCGGTCTCCGAGTCTCTTTCCGGTTTCTCCAATGTTGATAGCTGGGCATTTTCTGCAAGAGATGCAGTAAATAAAGTTGCTGGAGGTACAAGATGTCGTCTGAGTGATTTGGAATTCTCCAGTGGGGCTTTGCATGAGTGTGGTGTTAAATATGAATTTGCAGGTGATGCAGCGAGTTCTCCCCAAAATGTTTTGTTCCTTTTTTTCTCTTTACAGCATTGAATAAAGCTTTTATTTGTTCCTTTGTAGCCTATGCATGCCGACGGATGGCCCTACTTGAACTACTGTAACAAAACGATTTCCATACCTTCATTGACGAGAGGGAGGGCTGTTATACTTGTGCCTTTTTGGAAGTTAAGCTTCTGAGTGTTTTGTGTTAGGGGACATTGGTAGGTGTTTTAAATATCTCACAGGCATCGTTGTAAAATACAGTGGCCTTGGGGACGTGTAAACTTAGTTGGTTAGAATAAATTGGCTTCACTGATGTGTAAACTGTTGTATTTCATGCATTACACTGCAATTGCAGATTTCCAGCACATGTATTGTGTACTGGATACAGTATTGTTTTAGTTTTTTTTTTTTTCTTCTGTGTGGGCGCTTGTGTACTTGTGTACAATTTTTTAAATGGACTCAACATTTGAAACATTTTATGTTCCCTATCATTTTTACCCCAATCTTGGTTTGTGATGTCAATGTTACTTAAAATATCTGAGGCTCAGCAATTGTCTTTCTGCAAATTAACTTTTTTTTACGTGCTGCTTATTCACATTTTATTTACTTTGATTTTTATTTGCTGTTGAGCCTGACTGAAAAGTCTTGTCCTCTTGTCCTGCGTTTACAGGCTAAGAGGCCAGTGCTCACATTTGAACTTGGACTTGGTTATTACAACACTTTGCTGGACATTGTTAATGTCAACAGAGCTATACGATTCCAACACAGAGCTTAATCTGTGTTAAGAAAAAATCCTGAGAGTTGTGTACTTGTTTGTCTGTGTGCTATAAAAGTGAATATCATCATGTCTTTAGTACTCTTTACTGGTCTGTCTTGATGCTGTAACATCCCCATATCTTAAAGTTTTTATTCTTTCTCTGTGGGTTTTTTTGCCTTCGAATCTCTACTCTCAGTCCAAGTTAAAGGCCTTGTTCTCTTGTCCTGTGTTTTCAGGCTCAAGGGCCAGTGCTCTCCCTGATGCTGGGGAAAGGGCTCCTCTTGAACAGCAGCACAGTGGGGAGGAGTGGGACTCCAGTCTGATGCAGGAGACAAAGCTCACTGCTGCAGAAGGGAAAGAGACACTCAGTGAGCAGCACACAGAGAGCAGACAGAGTGTCGAGGATCTGGACTCTGTGTACGTGATGAAGACGGAGCCTGAGAGTGAGATACCTGGGCTCTTAGTATGTGATGATTTTACAGAGAAGATCAATAATCTGGACTTGAACAATATTACACAAGGTTGTAATGAACTGGGCTTTGTCTCTGTACAAGAGCATAAAGAAGAACTGGGTGAGTTTAATCTTACAGAGCAGAACATGGAGCCCCAGTTGATTAACCCTGCAGAGCAGCAGACTGATGTACCTGGTGAAGAGAACAGTACTGAGATACAGCACACAGAGGATACTCAGTTCAGGGAGGAACAACAGCAGCTCCTACAGGGCTTGATAATAGCAAGGCCTTGTTCTGTTAAACTGGAGAGACTGTCATTGCAGAAGTGGTTTAAACAAATGGGTGATCCTTTAATATCTAAGGACATTACAGAGAAGTGTAATAATTTAAACACTAAGAATATTGCAAAGCATTTCAATCAGCTGGAGTTGGTCTCTTCACAAGGTTGCAAGGAAGAGGAACATGAATTTAATGTCTGTAATCTAAGGGAGCAGGAAATCGGGTTCCAGTTGATTGGCCCTGAAGAGCAGCAGACTGATGTACCTGGTGAAGAGGACAGTGCTGAGTCACAGCACACAGAGGAGAGTCAGGGCAGGGAGAAACAACAGCAAGACCAGATGATCAAGGAGATTCAGCCAAGACCCGACAATGTACAGGAATTGTCACTGGAGCACAAACAGCAACAGCAGTTTCCTCTCTTAAGCCCCTTAAAAACACACCAGCACATTCACATGGAAAAGAAACGATTCACCTGCAATCGGTGCAGGAAGAGCTTTAGTCAGTCATGTGACCTCAAGAGACACCAGTGCATTCACACGGGAGAGAGACCGTTCAGCCAGCTGGGCACCTTGAAAACGTACAAGCACATTCACGCAGGTGAGAGGCTGTTCAGCTGCAGGGAGTGTGGGAAGAGTTTTAGTCAGTTAGGCAGCTTAAAAACCCACCAGCTCACTCACAGAGGGGAGATACCGTTTGGCGGCAGTCAGGATGGGGAGATGTTTAATGAGTCAGACACCTTAAAAAGAGACAAACCCATCCCTGCAGCAGAGAAAGCATTCGGCTGCAGGCAATGTGGGAAAAGTTTTAGTCATTTGAGTGCTTTAAAGAGACATGAACTCTTCCATATGGGAAAGAGGCCGTTCTGCTGCAGTCTGTGTGGGAAGAGTTTTAATCACCCGAGTGCCTTAAAGACACACCAGCGCATGCACACAGGGGACAGACCATTCTGCAGTCAGTGCGGGAAGAGTTTTAGTCGGATGCGCAGCTTAATAGCACACCAGCGCATTCACACAGGAGAGAAACCTTTCAGCTGCAGACAGTGTGGGAGGAGTTTTAGTCAGATGCGCAGTTTGATAGCACACCAGCGCATTCACACAGGAGAGAAGCCATTCAGCTGCAGTCAGTGTGGGAAGAGTTTTAGTCACCCAGACACTTTCAGGAGACACCAGCACATGCACACAGGAGAGAAACCATTCTGCTGTTGTCAGTGTGGGAAGAGTTTTATGATGTTGAGCCAATTGAAAGCACACCAGCGCATGCACACGGGAGAGAAGCCATTCAGCTGCAGTCAGTGTGGGAAGAGTTTCAGTCGCCCGGGCACCTTAAGGACACACCAGCACACGCACACAGGGGAGAAGCCATTCTGCTGCAGTCAGTGTGGGAAGAGTTTTAGTCGGTCGAGCTATTTGAGAGCACACCAGCACGTTCACACGGGAGAGGGGCCATTCACCTGCAGTCAGTGTGGGAAGAGTTTTACTCGATCGAGCAACTTAAAGAGACACGAGCTCCTCCACACGGGAGAGAGACCGTTCTGCTGCGGTCAGTGTGGGAAGAGTTTTAATCACCCGAGTGCCTTAAAGACACACCAGCGCATGCACACAGGAGACAGACCATTCTGCAGTCAGTGCGGGAAGAGTTTTAGTCAGCCGAGCTATTTGAAAGCACACCAGCGTGTTCACACGGGAGAGAAGCCATTCAGCTGCAGTCAGTGCGGGAAGAGTTTTAGTCAGTCAGGCACCTTAAAGAGACATGAGCTCTCCCATACTGGAGAAAAATTGTTCTGCTGCAGTTGGTGCGGGAAGAGTTGTAGTCAGTCAGCCACCTTAAAGATACACGAGCTCCTCCATACGGGAGAGAGACCATTCTGCTGTGGTCAGTGTGGGAAGAGTTTTAATCACCCGAGTGCCTTAAAGACACACCAGCACACGCACACAGGGGAGAGACCATTCTGTAGTCAGTGCGGGAA